GGGTTTAGGGGCTTAGGGTTTAGGGGTTAAGGGTTTAGGGTCGTGGGAGGTCTGTCTGAGCAGAAGCGCGGCAGTAGTTCAGTAGTTGTTAACGGCAGTGAAATTAGCTCCTGAGACCCTCTGGTGTGACTCAGATGCCGTTGCCATGCTTCCGACAGCTTGCCATGTGGGAGTTTCACCGAAAATAGGGGGGTGCCTTATTTTGGGGTCCTTATGATAAGAATCCCTACTATTTAGGGTGCCATATTAGGGTCCCCTATTTTGGGAAACTCCCATGTTGGTGCCTGCCTCTTCCTGGCGGGCTTCGTCTCTCTGCCGCTGAGGGGGTGTACACCTTAGAGACCGTTTCCAGGTCCCCCACCAAAGCCATTGTACCCCTTGTAGCCTGGGGCTCTCTGTGAGGGCTCATATTGTCAAAAAGTGCGTCGCTACTAAGGAGTTCCTGGGGAAATTCGTTTCTAAGGTCATTATAGAACTTTGTAGCCCTTTTCGAGATCTTGCAGCAACACATTTCTGACAATGAGCGGCGAGTGTATAAAAAATGCCCACCGCCTGTGTCCTGCTGCGTCCCGCGACGTCTCCTCGCACTTTGCGCCAGGGCCACAGCCGCAGTGCACAAAACTGCGAGGCGTTTTGTGCTCGGCCAGCCCGACGCTCTGGGGTAGAACGGTAGAAGCTCCGTTTCCCAGCCATGGTGTGCCGACTTTTTGCCATCGCAGCTTGCCGGCAGACACGGTACCTGTGTAAAGTCTCTGCCAAGGCTAGAGACCTAAGCCCTCATGTATAATCCTCAAACGGTGTTGAAGTTGCTTCGTCCTATTCTGTGCTGAGATGCCTCAGCAGCGCTTCAAGTTGCGTTGTGACTTACAAGGTCTCAGCTTGAAACTCGGGGGCTTACATAGTTAGCAATAGAATTCCCCGGCGTTCCTCACGATAACTTTCCTACGACCTGTACCGAAACTCCCACAACTTAGTTTTGGGTTGAACACAAAGTGACTCTGATCGTAATCTGTGCGCCCTACACTCCAGATCCCAGCTTGAAAATCAACGCAAAGCTCCCCTAGCCCCTAAACCCTAACACCTTAGATAGGGATCGGGGGAACTTTAAACTTCTTGGCCTTATATATTAAAGCTCTAGCTTCGAAAGTTTAAACTTTTTGGGGCCCGGTTGTTGAAGAAGAGAGACCCTCAACCTAGAGCCTCAGCCCTCGGCTTACGAGTAGTAAAGTACTGTAGCTTGTTGCTCAACTAGAGGAAACCTCCAAAGTTTCTCGTCATTTCACTTCGTCTTTGCCGAAGGATCGCTTGGTCCGCTAGGGAGTTTGGAGATGTTTCCTCTTTTTGACGTTTGGAGGATCTTGTTTGCTAATATTTTAGAAGCTGCCCCCACCCTGTAATAGTGGTATAACAGGAATAGAATCGGGCCCTAATATAATCCTATATAACCCTTATGGTCACTATTACAGGGTGGGGGCAGCTTCTAACTAATATTGTTCAGAGGCATTTGAAGGGCGGAGGCAGGGTGCTTGGGGCTCAAACCCAGACGAAATCGAGACGGCGCTGTGCTTCATATGGGAGTTTCCGAAAATTAGGGGTACCTTGTTTTGGGGTCAACAAGGATCCTACTAATTATTTAGGGTACCATATTAGGGACCCATATTTTCGGAAACTCCCATATCGCTGCCGTAGGCGCTGGCTGTCATTCCTGTGTGTTCAACTTGACCTCGGATGTGCGAGAAGGAAGGTTCACAAACCATGACCCCAAGCACCCCTTGCAACCAATTATATTAAGGCCCCTTTACATTAGAGGTACATAGGCCATTTGGGTTTCCTCTTTCTGACTTTGGAAGAATATAGCTTATTTTGCGATCCTTATAACAAGGATCCTGCTAATAAGGCCCCCTACATTAGCCTGAATCCCTTGCTGATTCGGCTCATGGTTCCAGGTCCTCTTGGCCGCAGCACGGGCGCAGACCTGCGAGGACGACCAGACGTGTCAACGGCCCAGCAGTCTCGGCGAAGAGGGATCGTTCCTTCAGGCGCGGATCAACGAGGAATCGCAAATGGACACAGCCATGGAAAACAGCGAGGAATCGCAGACAAACACATCCATGCAAAACTACGTGGAGCGCGTCCTAGGCAAAGTGACGGCTCTCGGTGGCAGACACCAGAACAACGTGGAGCTTGCTAAGGATGAGGTCCGCAACCTCGCCATTCAACTGGCAGCAGATCCCGACTACACCGTCTTCAACGTGAGCCAGTCCAACATGCACGATGCCTTTGAGAGGATCATCGCTGAGATGGAAGAGATCATCAACGACACCCTGGTGTCCTTGGACAAGGACCACAAGGAGTTTGACATCATGATTGATAATATCCTCAAGTGTGGGCGGAATCTCAACGCCAGCAATGTGAGCGTGACGGAAATGAGCCCTGCCGTGTTGCTGCTCGGCGTCGAGCATGATGTGTGCCGAAACGACTCCGTTATCTTGCGAGACCAAAACCACACCGCCCAGACGAACTACTACAACTACATGGCCAACCCCAACATGCCGGCCTGCGCCCAGAATTTTGAGCCAGGGACATGCCCAGCACAGCAGGACTTCTCAGTGCCGCTGTACTTCGACAATGCCATTGCATGTGCCAGCTCTGTTGACACTTGGGCTGGTGAATTCCACAAACAGGCCCAAAGCCTCAAAACTGCGCATGAGATTGCGGAGGCGGCTGTTATTGCCAAGTATCAGGCGTGCGACAGGACACAGCTGACGTATGAGTCCGCCTTCTGCACTTATCGTACCGAGCTTGTCGATCAATGCACTGCACTGGATAATTGCTATTCCAGCGCTGTGAGTGTGTTTCAGGCGACCAAGGATCTTATCCTCAAGTCCAACTCAAGCCGACACGTGGCCTTCATCGCTGCCAGGCAAGTGCAATGCTACATCCGCGTGCTGCAGTCCGACAACCTCACAATGGCCGCAATCGAGGCCTGTGATTACAAGCTGGTCGACACGTCCCCCCTGGCTTTGACAGTGCCTTCCATTCCACCCAAGCCCGCCTGCGACGTCTCCCTTGTGGCGGAGCACCCGTGTGGCAGAGCCTGGGTCACCAAGAACTACCAGGACATCACGAAGTACTGGGTTGCGCAGCAAATTGCCCACGCGACTTGTGGCGGGCTCAGTGGAGCGTGAGTTCATGTGGGTAGCTGCAAGAGTTAGATTTCAGATTTCTTCAAGGAGAATGTCATTACCGAGACCACCAAGAATCCCAATGGGGCGAAATGTTTACAGAACGACCCATGTGTCAACTGGTAGGAACTGAACTGCTAAGCCCTTAGCAGCCCTCAAAAAACCGCGTGCCCTCGTCTGTAACCCCAAACCTCAACGCTAGTCCCCGAACTCGAAGCCCGAAACTCCAAAGCTTAAACCCAAAACGTGTCCCAACCTTAACCCCAAAAAACCACAACCAAATCCAAACCTAACCCTACCCTAAACCCCAAACCCTGAACCCTAATCCTAAACCCTAGACCCTAAACCCTAACCCTGCAGCCTAAGCCGTTGCAGGTATGCCATGCTTGAGCGAATCTTTGAACCTGGAGGAGATTGGCGACACATGGTTTGGGCTTTGGAGTACCATACTTTAATGCCTTTTTTCTTAAAGGAACCACTATGAAGAAAGTTTATACTTTCTGTCCCTGGTTACTTAAAAGCCCAGTGGTAGTTGAATGTTGCAACCTTTAACTTGTTTGGGTCGTAGGTTCCCCTAGAGTGTTACCTTAGGGTAGGGCTTATGGTATGGTTTAGGGTTTAGGCATAGTTTGGTCCTGTAATGAAGCCTTGTCAACTGAAACTGGACAGATAAGGGCAATGCGATTGGCGTTAGAAAAGTCTTGGACACGGTTGCCAGGTCCTGGAGCAGTATACGTTTTTGGTTGTTCGCGTAGGTTTTTGCGAGCAATAAGTGTGCTTCCTTTTGAAACTTTTTTGGCCATCGGGTTTTTAGATGAGTATGGTTTTGCTTTTGTGGTGGCAGAGTGCTTTTTCCATTTCTCCTGATGTTGAGAATCGTTCAATCGTTGTTCCTTCTTTTCAGCCACCCAAGAACCAAGGTTGTTGCGGCGGCTCGTAAGGGCCTCACAGTTTAGGGTTTACGGTTGGCGTGTCTTCCGTGCCAGATGTGTTGGGGCTTTGATGTGACTGCCAGCGGAAAAGACCGATAAGGTGCATCCGGCAATAACAAAGACGACTGAGTCTTGCAGTCGGCGGAGGAATTCAGCCGCGATTGCGATGCATGCTGTATGTGCTTCAGAGGCTCTCAAAGGTCTTCGCCGCATGCAGTCTAGTTCGTGCTATGATTCGCATCTGGAGCGCTTGGTTTCGGAGTGCCTACTGTGTGCTCCAACAAATCCTGTGCCTCGTGCCTGAAGCCATACGTAGCTAGGACAGCTATAGGAGACAAAACTATATTTCCAAGTTTGAGCCTCCGGCGACAAATTTTGCAGGGGGAGTGTATGGTGGCTTTCCTCAGACGGTCGGGTGTGAAATCTCCAAGCCGTTTGAGTCGTTCCAGCTGGGCCTTCAGCGGCACCGGAGGCGTTCATGTCCCAGTCTCCCAGAGACTCCAATATCCCTTAGTTAAGGAATATTCCTTAAATCATATTAGGGATCCTGTCATATTTTACGGTACATTCCTTAAGGGATATTGGAGTCTCTGGGCTCCGGACGCTTGATGCAGGCTTGGCCACTCAAGGGTGCAGGGTGACCTGTGCAGCCCAATGATGGCTGCATGGCTCATCAAGGTTCCTGTCCTGGACTCTTTCAGCCAATGTGACCTATATCAGCCTTTCTATGGCGATAGGCGGATGTATGAAAAATGCCCAGACGGTTAGACTAAAGTGAGCAATTCCGGCAGAGTCTCTTGCAAGGTTCCATGTCACGGCAGCACTTGCGATGTAGGCATTTGTGCCGCTCAAGCGCCTGAAACCCAGAGTAAAAGTTCCAGCCATGTCGTGCCGACTGTTAGCAATCGAAGCTTGACGGCAGACGGTTTAGGGTTTGGGGTTTAGGGTTTAGGGTTTAGGGAGGGTTGCTTGAATTTACAGTAGAAGCCAGAAAGTTGGAACATGGCTTCAGGAGGATTCGTGCTAGGATCCCTAGAATACTTTGCCATAAGGGCACGAGGAGAATGGTGTTCCAACTTTCTGGCTTCTACTATAAACGGTTCCATGCGAGTTCGCATGGGCTTCAGGGCTTATGGGAGTTTCCGAAAACAGGGGACCCTAATATAGGACCCTAAGTAGTAGGATCCTTATTATAAGGACCCCTAAATAAGGTACCCCTATTTTCGGAAACTCCCTTATAGGTTTGTGAACCTGACTAGGCCCTAGGCTTGGTCCCCGCAGTAGTGTAGAGGTCTGTGCATTTTGTTACTCCTGAGGCTGCCTGGCTACAACCCCAAAGCCCTGTTCTAATTCCTAAGGCCCCTGCAGTATTCTCGCATCCTTGTTATGTTTGGGCTTTGTGGTTAAAGTGGGCAACGCATAAAGGCATGCCCTCAAAGTTAAGGACTCTGTGGATGCTGGTTTAGTGTAACCCTCTAGGGACGGGGATGTGTGAATCAGGGGCTGCATTCACCATGTCAAAACACTTCCATGCATCTTGAAGCCACTCGGAATTCTGAGCCCAGCAAGGCATGAGGCTTTCAGAAAAGTCGCATGCATATGGGTGGTTGTCAAAATTATGGTCCCTTTTGGGGTCCTTATTATAATACCGCACCTAATTTAATATTTAAGGTACCCAGAAGGGGGCCATAATTTTGACAACCACCCATATGAAAGGCCCTGTTTGTTCAGCAGCGACTCTTGGCGCAATCCATTGACACAACATGACACAACTATGTAATCTGTGGCTGACCCAGAGACTCCAATATCCCTTAATCCAGGAATGTACCTCAAATTATAATAGGATCCGTAATATGATTTAAGGAATATTCCTTAACTAAGGGATATTGGAGTCTCTGGGGATTTCTTCGGAACGAAGCCAATCAGAAGAGGATTCTCCGACATTCCTCGGCAGGGTTCGAAGTCTGAGACCCGGGTTATGTCCCGGAATAGAGCACGAAGCACCATAGTACGAAGGTCGGACCACCCCTCACAACCATAGCATTAGTATACTTTTTGTTCTTGTTCACATACAGCCCAAGACAATATTGAAAATACTTTTTTTAAATATGGTTCTAAGGAGGGTATAGTACCCCCGAAGCCCTATTCTACGGTTATGCCCCTACAGTACTTCGCCCTGAGGGCGCCAATGTTGCACACGCAGGCAACAGCATTGACCATAAATGATAAGTTGTCCACGACGTGCTATCGGTCTCAATGTTTCTGGCTTCGAATAGTGAAACCGTGCAGGCCAACGAGAAGTTAGCTGTTCAATCTGGCTCTTGTTTCACTGGTGTCTGTTGTTCTGATACTCTCTGAACCCTTGCTCATGAGTTCGTTGATTCAGGTCCTCTTGTCTGCAGCGCGGGCGCAGACCTGTGAGGATGACCAGACATGCCAACAGCCGAGCAATCTCGGCGAAGAGGGAACGTTCATGCAGGTGCGTGTCGCTGACGAATCTGTCGACGGATCGGTCGAAGGATCGGTCGAAGGATCGCAGACGAACACATCTATGGCGAGCTACGTGGAAAAGGTCCTGGGCAAAGTGACGGCTCTCGGTGGCAGCCACCAAAATAACGTGGCGCTCGCAAAGGACGAGGTCCGCAACCTTGCCGTTCGACTGGCGGCAGATCCCGACTACACCGTTTTCAACGTGAGCCAGTCCAACATGCACGATGCTTTCGAGAGGATCATCGCTGAGATGGAAGAGATCATCAACGACACCTTGGTGTCCTTGGACAAGGACCACAAAGAGTTCGACATCATGATTGATAATATCCTCAAGTGCGGAGTGAATCTCAACGCCAGCAATGTGAGCGTGACGGAAATGAGCCCTGCCGTGTTGCTGCTCGGCGTCGAACATGATGTGTGCCGAAACGACTCCGTTATCTTGCGAGACCAAAACCACACCGCCCAGACGAACTACTACAATTACATGGCCAACCCCAACATGCCGGCCTGCGCCCAGAATTTTGAGCCAGGGACATGCCCAGCACAGCAGGACTTCTCAGTGCCGCTGTACTTCGACAATGCCATTGCATGTGCCAGCTCTGTTGACACTTGGGCTGGTGAATTCCACAAACAGGCCCAAAGCCTCAAAACTGCGCATGAGATTGCGGAGGCGGCTGTTATTGCCAAGTATCAGGCGTGCGACAGGACTCAGCTGACGTATGAGACAGCTTTCTGCACTTATCGCACCGAGCTTATCGATCAATGCACTGCACTGGATAATTGCTATTCCAGCGCTGTGGGCGTGTTTCAGGCGACCAAGGAGCTTATCCTCAAGTCCAACTCAAGCCGACACGTGGCCTTCATCGCTGCCAGGCAAGTGCAATGCTACATCCGCGTGCTGCAGTCCGACAACCTCACAATGGCCGCAATCGAGGCCTGTGATTACAAGCTGGTCGACACGTCCCCGCTGGCTTTGACAGTGCCTTCCATTCCACCCAAGCCCGCCTGCGACGTCTCCCTTGTGGCGGAGCACCCGTGTGGCAGAGCCTGGGTCACCAAGAACTACCAGGACATCACTAAGCATTGGGTTGCGGAGCAAATTGCCCACGCGACTTGTGGCGGGCTCAGCACAGTATAAGGCAATGCCCTCGACCAGGTATTAAAGCCGTTTCGACTGAACCCCAGCCCCCAAGATTGCAGGTATGCCGTGCCTGGACCAATCTGGAAGCCTCCGAACCTTTGATATATCGCAGATTAGAGCGGAGGTTGGCAGGGGCCTTACAAGTGCCTGTCATGTGAGATGAATGATGGAGCCACATTCCGTTGCCATGCGAATGACTCGCAAGGTCAGTTCTCCTGAGCCTTGCCTTGGGATGTCCAGGAATTCAGTGGCGAGCATGCCCCTCTGAGCGGGCCGTTTCCATGCTGGCAAAGGTCTCAGAGGCCCCAACAGGTGCAGGCAAGGGTGTGTTCTGACCTTGGCATATTGTGTGTGTGACACGTGACGCTGGAGCACCTGGTTCCGGAGTGCCGAATGGGCACTCCAACAGATATTGTTTGTGCCTCATATCCGAGGCTAGGCATAGGAGGAGAAGTATCAGATTTTGTTTGAGCCGCTGGCAAAGGGGCCTTGTAATATAGCTGAGATCAGTCAGACCGTCGGGTTGTGAGATCATCCAGACCGTTGGTATCGTTCCAGCCGAGCCTGCAATCGACTTCCGATGCCGGTCCAGGGTTTAGGGTTTAGGGGTTTCGGGTGTAGGGTTTAGGGCTAGGGTTAAGTGGAAAAGGTGTCGGTTTTGAGTTTTGGGTTTAACGGAGTTTTCAGTGTTCGAGTGTTCCGGATGCAGTTGATGCAGGCTTGGCCACTCAAGGGTGCAGGGTGACCTGTGCAGCCCAATGATGGCTGCATGGCTCATCAAGGTTCCTGTCCTGGACTCTTTCAGCCAATGTGACTTATATCAGCCTTTCTGTGGCCATAGGCGCGTGTATGAAAATGCCCACGGTAATTGTCCAGTTTCCTTCGAGCTTTATTGCACCATGTACTCTTCATGTCACGACAGCGTGTCTGAGAAAGCGAGGCATTTTGTGCCAGGCAAGATGCCCAGGGGTAGAAACACCAGGATTGTCCCAGCCATGCTACTCCGACTGCTAGCCATCGCAGCTTGGCGGCATTTCGGGTCAGAAAACAAGGGGCCTGTTTTTTGACGTTATGGTTCTTGGCATTAAGTTAAGGGTTTAGGTATGCACGTCCTCTGATAAAGCTCAAGTTGGCAGGGCATGGCTTGACTAGGGGTTTTCGTCTTTACCACGCTTTGCTGGGGTCGTAATCCTTCAGGGTTTGGGGTCAGAGGTCTTCCTGTCCCCAGCAGCTTTCGGTGTCCGGGGTTTCCCTAAGGGTCCAAAGGACCCAATAATAAGGTACTTGGGTTTAGGATAGTAGTAGTTATGTAGCTTGACGTTTGGGAGAGTATAGTAGTATTAGGTACTTGGACCCTTCGGGCTTAGTACCACATGCCTAGGAAGAAGCAGCTATTGCCTTTCACGGTTTGGGGTTTCGAGATACAGGAGTCTGCAGGGTTGCGCTCTGGCTTTGCTCAAGGGCGTAGGGTTTAGGGTTTTAGGCCTGCTCATGGGTAGTTACAGGTCTCCGCGAAGGAAACTGTTGGTGAGGCCACTTCTCCTGCAAATGTCAGACAAAGAGGCAGCGCATCAATTGTAGCACTTACAGGAAGCAGTCTTCATATATATATATATATATATATATATATGTATATGTATATGGACCGCCAAAGAAGCCACCCCGACCGCTGAAACTTTTCCTTTGTGGTCGTGAAACGCCGTGTTGCCCCTTCGGGTTTTCGCGAGCACGGGAAGAAGACCGTCAACTTGAAGTTGCCCCCTGTTCTGCACCTTTTTCGCCATGGGGGCTACTGAGTTGGACCCCACACAGCAGCCCTTTCTTGCCCGGGCTTCATAGCAATCAGTGTCATGTCAGGAAGCTGCAGCTGTATGCAGCACTTCTTAGTTTTGTTGGATCCATTTTGGGGGACCGTCGGGCTGTTGTTGACGGACACATGCCACTGCACGGGCTGGGACCGTCATGTCAAGGATCGAATCCTACTTGGGATTCATATCTGACGTTCCCATCGAGTTGTTAAGGCCAAGTAAGACCAGGTTTCAGTATTTTCGGTGTAGGTCTTTCGGCCAGGTCGTGGAGTTCAAACACCCTCTTTTTGTAGGGACCTTCCTCATTCCCATTCCTCAACTCTTGATTTCAGGTCCTCTTGTCTGCAGCGCGGGCGCAGACCTGTGAGGATGACCAGACATGCCAACAGCCGAGCAATCTCGGCGAAGAGGGAACGTTCATGCAGGTGCGTGTCGCTGACGAATCTGTCGACGGATCGATCGAAGGATCGCAGACGAACACATCTATGGCGAGCTACGTGGAGAAGGTCCTAGGCAAAGTGACGGCTCTCGGTGGCAGCCACCAGAATAACGTGGAGCTCGCTAAGGACGAGGTCCGCAACCTCGCCATTCAACTGGCAGCAGATCCCGACTACACCGTCTTCAACGTGAGCCAGTCCAACATGCACGATGCCTTTGAGAGGATCATCGCTGAGATGGAAGAGATCATCAACGACACCTTGGTGTCCTTGGACAAGGACCACAAAGAGTTCGACATCATGATTGATAATATCCTCAAGTGCGGGGTGAATCTCAACGCCAGCAATGTGAGCGTGACGGAAATCAGCCCTGCCGTGTTGCTGCTCGGCGTCGAACATGATGTGTGCCGAAACGACTCCGTTATCTTGCGAGACAAAAACCACACCGCCCAGACGAACTACTACAATTACATGGCCAACCCCAACATGCCGGCCTGCGCCCAGAATTTTGAGCCAGGGACGTGCCCAGCACAGCAGGACTTCTCAGTGCCATTGTACTTCGACAACGCCATTGACTGTGCAAGCTCTGTTGATGCTTGGGCTGGGGCTTTCCACAAACAGGCCCAAAGCCTCAAAACTGAGCATGAGATTGCGGAGGCGGCTGTTATTGCCAAGTATCAGGAGTGCGACAGGACTCAGCTGACATATGAGACAGCCTTCTGCACTTATCGCACCGAGCTTATCGATCAATGCACTGCGCTGGATAATTGCTATTCCAGCGCTGTGGGTGTGTTTCAGGCGACCAAGGAACTTATCCTCAAGTCCAACTCAAGCCGACACGTGGCCTTCATCGCTGCCAGGCAAGTGCAGTGCTACATCCGCGTGCTGCAGTCCGACAACCTCACAATGGCCGCAATCGAGGCCTGTGATTACAAGCTGGTCGACACGTCCCCCCTGGCTTTGACCGTGCCTGCTATTCCCTCCCATCCCGTCTGCGACGTTTACGTGGTGGCGGAGCACCCGTGTGGCACAGCCTGGGTCACCAAGAACTACCAGGACGTCACAAAGTACTGGGTTGCGGAGCAAATTGCCCACGCGACTTGTGGCGGGCTCAGCACAGTATGAGGCAAAGCTTCAGGCAATGAACCCTTCAGAGACCCCAAGCGTTAAAGCCGTTTCGACTGAACCCCAGCCCCCAAGATTGCAGGTATGCCGTGCCTGGACCAATCGGGGGTCCTCCGCACCAGTGATATATCACGGATTAGAGCGGAGGTTAGCAGGGGGCTTACAAGTGCCTGTCATGTGAGATGAATGATGGGAAAACATTCCCTTGCCATGCGAATGACTCGCAAGGTCAGCTCTCCTGAGCCTTGCCTTGGGATGTCCAGGAATTCAGTGGCGAGCATGCCCCTCTGAGCGGGCCGTTTCGATGCTGGCAGCTGCAGGCAAAGGTTTCAGAGGCCCCAACAGGTGCAGGCAAGGGTGTGTTCTCACGTTCGCATTGTGTGTGTGTGACGCGTGACGCTGGAGCGCCTGGTTCCCGGCGTTCCCGGAGTGCCAAATGTGCGCTCCAACAGTGCATGTGCTTCGTGCCTGAAGCGAAGTGTAGCAGAGGTGTAGCTTCGCGAAATCACTGACATGCGAGTGACGGGTGAGAGATCATCCAACAACGTTTGTGTTGTTCCAACAGAGTGTGCAGTAGGGTCCAGGTTGACCTGCAGCCCAATGATGGCGGCATGGCTCATCGTTCCTTCCTGGAGACCTTTCTGCCAATTGTGACCCTTTATCAGCCTTTCTATGACGCTAGGCCAGCGTGTGAAAATGCAGGGGCTGCCCGAACACTTCCTGTCAAGTTTTGTGCAAGGTTCCATGTCGCAGTATCATGAAGGACAACGCGACTACGCAAGCAAGCAAAGAGGAGTACCGCACATAGTCGTTGTTTATCTTGGGATCAGCCTGACGGGACAAGCGGTACCTGTGTTAAAGGGATGCAGGACAACTTAGACAAACCTTCACGCAGCCTCTTAAAAGCCCAAGTCAGCACCCTTATAGAACGATGGTGCAAAAAACCCTTATAAACCCTAAGACCTACATGGGGAGCCTGGATAAAGCCCATGATGAACCCTAAACCCTAAACCCTAAAACAGCTTTTTGCAACCCCAAGCCCCTCAGCGGCCCAAGACCCTTCAACGGAAACCTAGTAGCATGAAGCAATCTTCAAAGCGTAATATCGGGGCTTCAATGATTTCCTCTACTATTTTTTGGGGGTGTTCCCTATTACACTTATAACAAGTATTTTTCAACACGTAATATAGGCACATCAATCAATCATTTCCTCCAGGGTTCCTTATTATACTTATAGTATAATGGGCCCCACACCCCTGTTCTAATTATTAAGGCCCCTATATCATGGAACCCTTACTATGGTATCCCTAGCCGTAGAGTAACTCTTATACAGAGCCCTTTAAAACGGAACCTATTCTTATTATAAACGAACTTATATCCCTACATCCCTTTTTGCAGCCATTATAGTATCCCTTCAAGGAACTCTATAATCAACCTTGTAATCCCTAAACCTAGATTTAGAAGCCATGCAGCACCAAGTGCTAGCAATCGCAGCTTGGCGACACTCGAGGGTTTGGGATTTCTAAGGGTTTGCTGGAGGTTCAGGGTTTAGGGTTTAGGATCTGTAAGGGTTTGCTAAGGGTTCGAGCATTTAGGGTTGTTTGGGGTTTGGAGGTTTCAGGGTTCAACCAGAGGGTTGTGGGTTACTGGTTTGCGGTTTTGGGGCTTGGCGGTTGAGCTTTTCGAAAGTATACGGTTTCTGCGTTTCAGGCACTTGTGCTTAGGGGGTCGGTGTTTGGGGTTTGAGGGCAATTCAGACTTCAGGGCTTTGAACCATGATGTCTTTGGTTTGAGTCCTGGCTTATGCCCTAAGCCTCAAGCCCTAACCACAGGCTCCGCCTGGTAAGGCATTCTCGCTGTTCGACCAGTTGGAAAAGAACCCTCAAAAAAAACTAAACCTTAAACCCCAAGCCCTAAACCCTAAGCCCTAAACCCCAAACCCTCAACCCTAAGCCCTAAGCCCTAAACCCCAAACCCTGAACCGTCCATCAACCCTGAAGCCGCCAGGAACCCCATACCCCTGAAGACGCCACACCCAAAACCCTCCAGAACCCTACAGTAGAAGCCAGAAAGTTGGAACATGGCTTTAGGAGGATTAGTGCTAGGATCCCTTATACTTTACCTTAAGAGCATGAGGACAACGATGTTCCAACTTTCTGGCTTCTACTATAAGCCCTCCAAAGCCAAAGCCCTAGAAACCCAACAAAAACGCTTCTGAGCCCTAAGCTGTCTGGTTCTTAGTTGGGAGTAGGGTGCCTTTAAAGGGGTCTCTAAGGCTTACCATAAGGGATACTACGGTTGATGATATAAATCCTGCATCACCCATAATAAGGAATATACCATAATTCCCATAGTATAGGGTCCTTAAGGTAATGCAGGATTTATATCATCAACAGTATTACTGTCTGGTTCTTAGTCGGGAATGGGGAATTGGGGATTAGATAGGGACTGCTATAGGGGTTCATTCCTCCATTCCCTACTGAGCACCAGACAGTCGTTTAGCCCCAAACCCTAGACCCTAATTAAACCCCTACATAAACCCTAAACCCCTAAACCCAAAGTAAAGCTCCAAGCCCTTCCAAAGCGAATCCTAAGCCCAGGTCGTGCTGGCTGTGGCGCAGGAACAGACCTGCGAGAACACCCAGACATCTCCGCACTATGGCAACCCGAACGAGGAGCAGCTCCGTTTTGCGGGGATTCATTAGGTACTGCCCCCATACAGTAAGAGTCTATAATAATTAGGGCTACTAGTAAGGTCCGAATAGATCTATACTATGAATACTATTCAACTATTACTGAGTGGGGGCCGTACCCAAGGAATTCACTTGGTGCTGTCAGGTGCTTTATCGGCTTACATGGGTTATGTGGGTGCTTCTTAGTCCTATGGGGCCCCCTTTGTTTGCCAAGCCTTCTATTGAATTCTAGTGTTGGGGGTCAGGAACGGGGGCTAATTTTTCACTTCCTGATGCTCCCGACTAACTCTGACGAGGAGGGGACCTTCATGCAGGTGCGCGTCGCCGATGAGTCGCAGATGACTGCAGCCATGGCAAGCGACTCCGAACAGGACTGAAGCCCAAGCCCTAAAGCCCCCTTGTACTTAAACCCGGAAAAAGATTTAGGAACTCTCATAAACCTTTTCAGGCCCTCCACCCCTATCAATGTCATCAACCCGCATCAAAACCGGCAAATCTCAAGCCAGAAGGTCCTGAAGAGCGGGGCTATGCAACTGGACAACGAGGAGCTTGCCAAGGATCTTCAGAGGAGCACCCGGGGTTCGAGGTTGAAAACAGGGCCTTAAGAAGATCAGGGGACTTTGCCCTAGTAAAGAGAATAGGGTTCCTTTAAAGGGTTCTATAAGGGGTATTGTTTTAATGTAGGGACCTTAATAATTAGAACTGGGTTTGGGATCCCCATTATATTATAGTTATACTACGGAACCCCGAAAATAGTGTAGGTAATTATTTCGGCCCCTGTAGCTTCCGGTGTTCAAGGTTTAGGGGCTTTTCGCTGATTTAGGGATTAAGGTTTAGGGGTTTCTAGGGGAGTTTAGGGTTCAAGGTTAAACTGCTTTGAGGGGTTTAGGGTCTAAGGTTTTGGGGTTGTACGGAGTTTAGGGTCTAAGGTTTTGGTGCTTTTTGGCTTTTAGTTAAGGTTTAGGGTTTTTCGTGTGTTTAGGAAGCAGGGCTTTGGTGGTTTAGTGGTTTAGGAAAGTCTTGTTTTTGGGAGGCCCCGTTACCGCCAATTTTTGAAGCCTTGCGATACAGAAGCATCAACAGAAACTTGCTGGATGCCCCCGCCCTGCACGGCAAAGCCTGAACAGGGATGCCTACGAAGGTCACGATGGAGACGCACCCAAAAAGACACAAGACAGGGGCCTTAATAATTAGAATAGGGTTTTGGGGCCCATTATACTATGATTACAGTATGGAACCATACACTGGAATTGGTAATTATTTGGGCCCCTATATCACCCTCTCAGCTCCAAGATCGTGGAGTTTCCTGACAAGTATTGTTCGATAGGACATGAGGTAGCTATATGGGTAGTTGTCAAAATTAGGGTTCCTTTTGGGTACCCTAAATATTAGGTGCCGTAGCATAATAAGGTCCCAAAACTTCAGGGGCAACAGGACCTAGGACAGTAGCCGCCGAGTTGCTTGTAACTTGCTTGCCACCCCCCATAAATGCTTGTATACCCAAAAGCAAACAGTCTTCATAGGCCCGCATGGAGCCTTGCATCAAGCTCGTAGAAAACCACACATGCTCAGTCAGCCGTACAGAAACCTCAACAAAAATTTCAAGACACCTTAGAAAAGCCAACACAATCCTTCCGAAACCGTCGAAAACCGTATGTAAATCCTAGTCGTTGAAGCGTTATGATAAAGCAAGAGAAAGCCTTAGTAGCTGAGTTTATGAACTTTAAACTTTTTGGGATAATGAAACCCTCTTAAAACTGAAAGTTTAAACTTTTTTTGGCTTATGAACTCGGCACCTAAGAAGCCATGCCACCTCTCAGCAGAACCCCGATAAAAAGCTGAGCAGCCCCGAGCCCCAGGAAGCCCTAAAAGCTTTGCTTCCCGAAGCTCCAGGCAGCCTCCCTTTTAAACCCTTAAACATCATTAAACCCCTAAACCTTAAATTTTTAAGTTCTAAACCCGAAAGCCCCTAAACCATAAACTGTAAACCCTAAACCCCTAAACCCCTAAGCCCTAACCCCTAAACCCCTAAACCTTAAAACCCTAAACCCCCCTAAACTCCCTTTGGGTCCCGAGGATCTCGGGAGCGGAAGGCAGCTGTTTGACGGCTTATCCTGGGCTCACAGACCTGGCTGAGGCTCAGAGGGTTAGGGGTTTAGGCTTTAGTGACGGTTTAGGGTTCGGGGTTTACAGGTTTAGGGTTCGGGGTTTAGGGGTTCAGGGTTTAGGGGTTTAGGGGTTTAGGAGTTTAGGGGTTCAGGCTTTAGGGGTTTAGGGTTCGGGGTTTACAGGTTTAGGGTTCGGGGTTTAGGGGTTTAGGGGTTTAGGCGTTTAGGGGTTTAGGCGTTTAGGGGTTTAGGGGTTTAGGGGTTTGGGGTGGGTTTAGGCTTCAGGGTTTAGGGGGCATTGAAAACCTAGTCTCGACGGCTTTGTGCAAGGGATAGCCTTCAAGGGGGTATCTTAAAGCAGAGATTTACAGCGGGGATTTGGGTTCAGGGTCTTGGGGTTTAGAGGGTTGAAGTTTAGAGCCTTAACGATTCGAAGAGGGTTTTACTGGGTTGGAAGGGTTGAGGGTAGGGCTGAAAGCTTCGAACAGGTTTCCTTCGAGGGGTTCTTGAAGCAAGAGGTTTACACCCGCTGCGATGTTGGCTTAGGATCTTGGGGCTTATCGTTGAGAGTTGGGTTTTAGTAGTTAGGGTAGGGCTTTTATGATAGGAACCTTCATACTTAGAATACGGTTGCTTCAAGGGTTTTCAAAGAGAGGTCTCAAGGAGGGCGTATTGGGCTCTAGCGTTTTAGGGTTTTAGGGTTTCGCATTTGGCAGTGGAGTAGAGTTTTAAAGTTGTTTAATATGCGCCGCCTAGTGTTTCATGATAGGGGCTTTCATACGAGAGGTAGGTTCCTTCAAGGGGGTGTTGAGGTTTGGGGTTCACCCAAGCGCTTGAGGGGTTTTACGATGAGGGTTTAAAGTTGGAGTATTTGTGAATGCTCCATATTAAAACAAAGGAATCGGCAGAAACACTTTACTGGTAGTGTTGTGGTTTGAAGTTTGATAGTTTGTACAAGGAGGTTGAGGAACACGTCTGCCCGGCACCCTGACGCCCCTAGCCACCATAATCGGCCGATTCTTGCGCTTTGCCACAGACCACGTCGACAGGCCTGTACCGCCCTTCCATAGGCCCTGTGGGCGCGACCTGTCACGAGCTGCAAACATGACAGGGCCGAGAGCACCAAGAAACGACACGCTACGCAAACAGGACTGATCGGAAAGGATTAGAGGATTTAAGAAAAGGGCAAAGCCGCTTCCAAGGGAGTATTGCATTAGGAACACGCCGTTTCAACGGGGAAGGAGCATTGGAGAGACAGGAGCAAAGCGTTGGAAAGGGACAGGGCATTTGAGAAAGACAAGCATATATCGTTCAAAAGGGAATGGTGCATGTTCCCTAAATGGTGTAGATAGAGTGTCGGAGAAGAAAGAGAAAACCTAGCGACAAGGACTGTGGAGCATTCGTTTTTGAGAACCAGAATAGAGCTTTTGAGAGAAGCAACACACCTCCCGAAATGGACCTAGAGCATTTCGGAGCAAAGAAAGAAGCCCTCGACGGGAATTAGAGCGACTCAGACAAAAACAGCTTTATCCCTTTTCGATCGGTTTGCTCCCAGGTATTCAATGCTCGAATCTTGTTCGAGCAGTTTCCCCAGTGCTTTCATCCCTTTACTTGGATTTGCTGATTTTTCTCGTGCTGTAGAGGCCTGAATAAATATAAATAAAATGGGGAACCCCCCGAACAGTATTGGTAATCAATTAGGCCCCTATGCCATAGACCCTTCTTATAGATGTTATGTAGACCCCTTTAAAGGACCCGTAAATGGAACCCTACTCTAATTACTAGGGCACCTAAACCGCCTGCCCTTTGTGACTTTTGGGGGCGGTTTGTTCTAGCCGCTTTCGAGCGGCTGCAGAACAGCACAGGTTCAAAAAAATACATTGGTTTTTCGGTTATGAAAAAACTTATACTCTTTTTCGACTCTTTTCGAAGCAGGAGATGCTAGAACACAGCGATCGGAAGGGAATAGGGCGATTGAGCTTCGGCCCAAGCGACCGCAAGGGACCAATATAGGGGCCTTAGTAATTACCTATACATTTTGGGGCTTCTTATTATAATTGTGCCATATTCGGCCCCCTAGGCCCCAATATTAGACAGTTGAACCAAAAGAACACACCTCTCGAAAGGGACTTAACTTGGGCGATTGGGAACTATAGAGCATGTGGTTTCAGGAGCTGACCACCCGCGTACGAGATCTTTATGGGAGTTTCCGAAAATTAGGGGTACCTTAGGGTTCCTTTAAAGGGTTACCATAAGGGGTACTACAAGGGTTCCTTTTAAGGGGCTCTGTAGGGGTTCAGAGTTTCCGAAAACAGGGGTACCTTGTTTTGGGGGTCCTTATAGTAAGGACTCCGCTATTTCGGGTATTAGATTAGTGTCCCTCATTTTCGGAAACTCCCATATAGTATAGCTACAGAACATGTCAGGCCCTTATACTGGTGTTATGTATCCCATAATCCCTCGACATGAATCACTCATTGTAGTTAAGTCTTAAACCCTGTACCCCAAGCTTTCCCTCCCCAACCCCCCTCCGAACGTTCTTCGGAGGAGTTTCGGTGGAGAAGCATAGGGTCTTCAGAATAGTTCATTAGGGTTCGTCGTAACGATCTTTAGACGAGCACCGAAACCTTCAAATCTCCCGAATCCTTAACCCTCCTTAAACCTCAAACCTTACACCCTAAACACTGCTCGTGACACCAAGCCTTACCAAATGGTGTCTTATTATCCTTGAACTACAGGCTAGAACCATTGAAATGGTAGGAAGTTGGAGCCACAGGTAAACCCTATATATGGTCACGCGCTCCGCAGCCCCCCCCCCCCCTCCCCCCCCAAAGGTCAATGGTCCGGATATAGGGTGGGGCCCCCCCCCCCCCTGTGGTGTGGGGTGTGGGGTTCCTCTTCCCCCTCTGGGGTGGTTGTGGGGTTTTGGGGTTTAGGGTTTAGCTTAAGCTTTTGAGTTTTGGGTTTACGGCTACAAGGTATAAGGCTTCGAGTCGACAAGGGCTTAGGGAGGATTTGCGGTGTATTTTCTGCTTTAGGCTTAGAGCCTGCAGTTAGGTGGGGTTTAGGGTTGGGTGTAGCGTTTTAAGTACAAGTTAAGGTTGCTCAAAACAGGGGCACGCGCTGCGTCATAGGGTTTACGGCTTGCTTGCGAAGGGCTTGCGCGTGAGCCCTGGCAGCCAGCACCACCCCACCATCCAGTGGCAGCTCCAACGGCCCCCAACCCCTTTCCGCACACGCCATGCCCCTCCCCCCCCACCCCTGTCAGACCATACCATTGGGGGGGGGGGGGGGGGGGGGGGGGGGGGGGGGGGGGGGGGGGGGGGGGGGGGGGGGCTGGGAACGCCAGACGCCTGACCATATAAGCCCTATGCCGCCGGAGGCATTGCGCAGCAGCCTGGGTGAAGGCTCCAACTCCTCCCTGGCGAAAGCGCAGCAAAATCTTGAGAAGATCCTCAGCTCCCATCAACACGACGTGGAGCTAGTTCAACAGCTCCTTGGATGCCATTTTCTGGGATTTAGGGCTTAGTGACTTTACGGTTTACAGGTCTGTTTGGATGCCATATTCACATACTGTTTATCAGGCTTATCTACTACTAACCGGTTCGGGTTGTACAGGGGGATTTCTCTCCTAATGTTCTATGAGGCTTGGCTGGTTTTTGTCGACAGCTACAGTGGGACACTCGTAGTACGGGATAGTGATACGAAATAATTAGACCGAACACGCCGACCCTAATCCTAAATCCTGAAAGCTAAGACCGTAAAGACCTTGTCGTAGCGGGACGATGAAGCATGCATGAACTCTAGACATTCTAAAGACTGCATACACACACCCTAAAGCATGCACATCCTCGAGCACAGTTTGGCACGCGCTAGTCAGGAAGTGCTTTACACAATCAGGCAGGTAGCAGGAGCAAGAGTTAGCGACCCTGTTCGTCCGAAAATGATGCCGATAGCAACGGCGAGGACAGTCATGAGAACGCAAACCAGTCCACGGCATTGAGCCGCTTCTAGGTTCTAACCTTCACGAAAAACATTTCACAAGTGTACGCAACCCAAGACACTAAAACCCAAGCTCATTGCTCTTAACCCAGAACTTGAAAATCACAACGACAACTGCCATAAACCTAAACTCAACACCCTACACCTGGCATATGCCAAACCAAACCCGTAAACCCTCAACACAGCGAACAACGCGAACCCAAGGCCCCAAACCCGCCTAAGCCCCTAACCCCATATCCTACCCCTAAACGCCCAAATCCGAAATCCTAAACCCTAAACCCCAAACCCTAAACCCCCAAACCCCTACACCCCAAACCCCTAAACCCTTAAACCCCATAACGCATAAAAACGGGATCGCATCTCGAAGTGCGTAGAGGCTCGGTCAGAAGGAGTTCCTGGCTTGCACCGAAGAGCTGCTCAAGAGGATCCTGATTGTTGATGGTGTAAATCAAAGGGGCTCCTTTAAAGGGATCTATAAGGGTGCCTTTAAAGGGCTCCTTTAAGGGATCTATATAGGGCTTTAGGGTTTAGGGATATAAATCAAAACCCTAGGGTTCCTACAAAGGGGATCTATAAGGGTACCTCTACGGGGCTCCTTTAAGGGATCCATATAGGGCTTTAGGGTTTACGGTATAAATCCTGCATTACCTTAAGGACCCTACACCATGGGAATTATGGCATATTCCTCATTATGGGTAGTGCAGGATGTATATCATCAACCGGATTGCTTGAACTCAATCAAAGGAAGCACAAAGACAAGAATTGGAAAACTATTGCAGCAGTAAGAATAATGAACATTACGATCATAGTACTATTATGGCAGCAACGACAACATCGGAGACCGATTTAGTCGTTCTGGTTCAAAGTTCATTCTTTCAGTGCTTCAAAAGGGGCTTACAGGGGTCAGATGGGAGTTTCCGGAAATAGGGGACCCTAATCTAGCACCCTAAGTAGTAGGATCCTCAGTATAAGGACCCCAAAATAAGGTACCCCTAAATTTCGGAAACTCTGAGATAGTTCGGGCCTTTCAGGTGGCTTTGTAATGCTTCTAAGGACATCATACTCATGCAGGTTTAGGGTTTTTGGGTTTTAGGGTTTACGGTTTAGGCTTTTGTGGTTTCGGGCTTTTCAGGGGCTTATAGGCCACGGGTTAATGAGGGGCTGCAGAAGTTTTTTCGAACTGTCAGTGTTAAAGTGTTTTGGCACCTAGGGTTTAGGCAGTAGAAGTAGGGCTCCGGGTTCAGAGTTTGCTGTTCCTGGATATGGTTCAAGTCGCCCAGTAGTGCCCTTCTACCATTTCTGTGGACTTTTTCTGTTAAGGTTGGAGAAAGAGAGCCCTGTGCTTCAGGGGCTTTGAAGCCCCACTCTTCAAACCCTGAAGCCTAGGCCCTTAAACCCTTAAAGCCGGATTGCTGGTGGAAAAAGTGGCTCAAAAAAACAGAAGAACCTTAAAACCTTTAAACCCTAAAACCCCTGAACCCTGAAACCTAGACGAGAGGACCCGGCTGAGGGTCCAAAAACTCTTCACTCTTTCCATGCGCCCGCGGTCGGAACCTGGGCTTTTCTTGAAGTGCACTTTCACGGTTTAGGGTTTAGGGTTCCTCCATGTTTGATGGTTCTTCTACGGTGTTTAGGGTTCAAGGTTGCTCCTGAGCTTTAAGTTCTCCATCAACGCCCCTTCACCAGTCTTAAGGGAGCGGTTTCGAGTTCATTGAGGGATCGACTGTGGGTTCCGTGCTTCTGCCGGTTCCAGACGGGCACTTTGAGCATATTGAACCCGTTGATGACAGTAACCTGGCATCCGCTTAAAGTCTGTAGTGTAGTTATGATATAATCACCCCCCCATGCCCCCCAAAAAAACACCAAGCCAGCCGCCGTTAATTAGCCTATCTTTCTTTGAGCGTTCGTACAGTTTCCATGACGGGGCTTAGCTGTTTCGGGGGTGCAACTAAATTTGTGTGGATTCTATAAGGGTTCGGAAAGGATTCTACAAGGTTTCTGGGTTTACAGTTTGGGTTTCTGGGGATACTGACACCCTTAGCGAGTTGTGTTGGGTAACACTGAGCGCTTTTTCCCGGATTATCGCCCTACCTATCAACCCGTGCCACGCCTTACAAACGCCCTGTACAACACAATACGAAACCGTTGAAACCCCTTCAAGCATCAGTAAGCGACAAAGCTGAGACTAGCACATTCCAGCCCCCCGATGCCATGCTGTGTAGGTGAGTAAGTGACTAGGTGGGTAGGTAGCCTTTACGTAAACTTGCGGGGTCGTACGACTTTTAGGCCCTTCAGTAAATTGGACAAGCAAGCAAATTATGTTCGTCTGTCCATGCTGTTGCAGTCGGGTCGAACTCGGAGAACAACTTAGGAATGCAGATCGCGCCCTTGCCCAAGTGGCGTTCGTGAGTCTTATTGTGCCGACACGAGCATAGCATGCGGCACGACAGACTGCTCTAGCTCGGCTGGCGGGGAGCACTGTGAGATCTGGACCATTGGGAATACATCCGGTGATCTGGCATCAAGCACCGCGAAGACTCAAGGCTGTCGCTTGGTAACCGTTACAGGCTCTCCCGGATTTCTCAAGGCTAAGCGGTTGAGCCTGCTACAAGCTTCTGCCACGCCCTATACACCTCTGGTTCTTGTACCGATGTGCCCTGCTCAAGGAATCTACGTGTCTACATGTCCATCTCAGCAATAGCATCCCTATACAGCACCTACAGACCCTGCTCCAACGAAGAAGCCTTCTGCATCACTTACGCTGAGGTGACAGCAGTACGGAGCTTTTTCAAGGCTTCTGCGATCATTTCGCGGACGCGACATCCTCATGCGACCGCTTCGAAGCCTGTTGGAAGGCCGCAGAACTCCACGTTCGTTCGACCGACGCTTGACCCGTGTTTACAGAACAGCGCCTTTTTCCCAAACCCCTAAGCCCCAAACCCTGTTGAACTCGGGACCCGATCGGAGAATTGTGGCCTGTAAAGCCGAGGGATTCATCAAGGATCTCGCTTAAGTCCGCAATCCCCTTGGCTTTGTTGTTTTCAACTTGGAAGTGGTTCCAAGAGAAGTTGAGGTAGAAGCGGTGCAGCTCAGCGTGTCCAGAAGGAAATGCGCTTATACTGCAACCAAGCGGACGATCTGCCATATCAACATCATTTCAGAGGTGGCCACCTTTGCTGCGGGACCTTCCGCATCCCAACCGTCCGCTGCTTCCATAAAGGACTGCGCTGAACTGAGTGTGGACACCTCCATACTCAACATCACCTTTCCGCAGGACAGAGCCTAGATACCCCAGAAGTATGCCCTTTGCATTTTGGGATCTCCTGAGCAAAGCTGAATCATGAGAAAAGGATACCCTGATTATCAAGGTGATAGTGGAGAACCCAGAGACTCCAACATCCCGCAATGAAGGAATATTCCTTAAGTCCATAATTTAAGGTATATTCCTTAATTACCCAGACCCCCGGAAAAATCTAGAAAGTAGATCCCCTAATTTGGGGCCCTATACTACTAAGGGTACTTTAGAGGAACCCCCATTAAGGGATCCACCTTTTGGATCCTCCCGGGGGTCTGGGTAAGCGATGTTGACCAAGGAACCAAGAAGGCTTTGTGCGATCAGGCTGCCTGTTTTCTGGGCACCGACAGCATCTTTACCATGTCCTGTGACCTGGTCCCACCTGGCTCGAAGTCAAAATTAGGGTCCCGTTTTTGGGTACCCTAAAATGTAGGTGCCGTATCATAATATGGACGCACAAAGGGACCATAATTTTGACAACCACCCACATGTAAGTATCCCTATGCTTATACTCTTCCACTTGTCGGGGTCCATATTCAGACTGGCCACTAGCAAAAAGGATGTGTTTACTTTCAAAAGATTAGCACGGAACCTAGTATAAGCAAATGGTTGTAACGACCATTTAAGCCTGTAGAAACTTGGTAAAACCTTACGAATGATTCAACAAGTTACAAACCCCGTTTTGCTGTTGCTAAGGGGCTACTGTGAGAAGCTGGACTACTTGACCATAAAGAAAGCCTTATTCTTAATTAATTAACCAATAGAACTTCATCATGATTTAGCAATTACCTAGTTAACTTTTTCATTCCCCCAGGTGACGCGGATGCTTGCAGAGCTGTTGCCGCGAGCAGGGCCAGTGATCAGCTCCTGGAAATGATGCTCCCGGGCCGAGGTTCAGTGTATCATAGGGATCCTTAGGGGTGTAGGGGGAGGGGGGGTAGGGGGCCTTAAGGCCCATAATAAGGACTAATAAGGCCTATTTAAGGAAATATCGTCCCCTACACCCCTCCCCCCTACACCCCTAAGGATCCCTATGAGAGTGTAGGGGCCTTGATAATTACCTATCCTATTCGGGGGGGTTCCCGTTGAAGGGATCCTTTAAAGGGGTCTATCAGGGATACTATAAGGGTACTATAATATAGGGCCGTAGTAGTTACCTTTACTATCTTCAAAAATTCTTTATTAATTATAACCATAGTATAATATACCCCCAAACCCTATTCTGATTATGAAGGATTCACGAACGGTTTTGGGGTTTAGGGCTAGGGTGATTTCAGGGACTCAAGAATCGTTTCCTGCCCTGGTGTTCATGGTTCTCTTTTCCGGTACCTCAGTCATCAATCGAAAGCCCAAAGCACCAACACCGAGAACCCTAATTTGCTAAACTCCAAAAACTGCCTAAGCCCTAGACCCGACAGCGGAAAACCCTAGAACCTTAAGCTACACTGTAACGGTGGGGTCACCGAAATCACTAGTAAGAGTAGTCATGGTAGCAGTAGTAACAATAGTAGCAAGCAAAGTAATAATTTAGAAGGCCCCCCACCCTGTAATAGTGGTATAATAGGAATATAATGGGACCCCAATATGATCCTTATAGTTACTATTACAGGGTGGGGGGGGCCTTCTAAGTAATAGTAGTAATTGTCGTAATAGTCATGATAGTACCCTAAACCATAAACCCTAAGCCCCTAAACCCTAAACCTTGAACCCTAAACCCTAAACCTTACAGGGTGGGGGGGGCCTTTTAAGTAATAGTAGTAAGTACTCATCGAAATCTCGAGGTCCTCAGAGGTTCCCGAAGCTCAGAATGACCGAGAAAGCTCCCGGTGCTGGTTTTCGGCGAACTCCTCGGAACCTGTGCCTAGGCCGTTAGGAAAAGGGCTCTCTTGGGTTGCGGGTTTAGGGTTTAGGTTTTAGTGTTTACAGAAAGTGTTCAGGGTTTGGGTGCCAAAAGCGTGTTGACCGAAAGTTTTGCGCAGGTTGTGTGGCTGAAACCTGATTTTGAGAGTTGGGCTGAAAAGGCAGCCGCTGGGCTGGCCTGGCCTGGAAACTGATTTTCCTAGTAGTAGAGTAAGCAACCTTTAACCTTTTTGGGTAGTATAGTCACTATATAATCCCTATTTAACCAAAAATGATTAACCTTTAGTTCCCCATGATACCCTAAACTCTAAACCCTAAACTCTAAGCCCTAAACCCTAACACCCTATATAGCCAAAAAAGGTTAACCTTTAGTTCCCCAAAGGATCCCCGACAAGTCGGTTTTGGGGGCTGGGAGCCGAGAGGGCCGGGCGGGAGCCGCGGGAGTTTGTGACTGGATGCGCTGCTTGGGGGGTCGGGGGACTTAGTAAGTAGTTAGTAAGTAGACTTATAAGTACCCTAAAAGGGACCCTAATTGGGGTTATGATACTTATAAGTCCTTAAAATAACCAGTTACTAAGTCCCCCGACCCTCCAAGTGGGCTGGGCTTGGCGGGGCGCCGGGAGACCTGATTTTGAGTTTGGTGCTGGAAATCCGGGCCCCAGGTCGGTCGGGGGATCGGGATCAGGGGCTGGGGGCGCAGGGGGCTGGATACTACTGTATAAGGGCCTTAATAATTAGAACAGGGTTTGGGGGCCCGTTCTACTACAATTATAATAAGGACCTCCCCAAAATGGTATTGGTAATTCTTCAGGCCCCTACATTACGGGGGCCTGGGGGGAGTTTGTGATTGGAACCTGATTTTTTTCTACGGGCCAGAAGGGCCACAAGCCCGGCGCCGGGTGCGGGGGCCGGGGCTAGGCTGGGCTGGGAGGGGTTAGGGGTTTCAATGTGAAGACAGACAAGCAGCTTCTAGGTATCACTGTCTTGAGAGTTTAGGGTTTAAATTCAGGGTTTAGGGTTTAGAGTTGCGACTTTAGATTCAAGCTCAGACTGCCTCAAAGTGCCCTTGGGTTCTCAGGAAGACGTCGCGAACTTGACTTTCAATCGCCCCCGAACGCTCCTGCAGATGTCAGGTTCTCAACCCTTAACTTAAACCTTAACTACTCTTAGCCCTAAGTCACCCAAGTCCTGATGGCCTCCTATAGGAAAGCCCAGGTGCTACGGGACTGTCCGGAGGATTGCTTCGAGATGCCGCAAGCTGAAACGACCCAGGTCCCTTCTCATGACAGCAACTTCCTCGGCAAAGTAAGTAAGACCTTCATGGGAGTTTCCGAAAATAGGGGACCCTAATATAGTACCCCAAATAGTAGGATCCTTATTATAAGGACCCCCAAATAAGGTACCCCTATTTTCGGAAACTCCCTCAGACTTAGTAAGATCACTCGCATTATCCCTGGGGACGTGGGGATTTAATAATCTAGAGTCTGCGCTCCTTTGGCCGGTTGCAAGTTGCAGGTACTAGAATCCTTTTTGCTCCCTTTTGTGTTCAGTCACGGATCCCCCACCCTAAACCCTCAACCCAAAACCCTCAACCCTAAACCCTCAACCCTAAACCCTAAACCCTCAACCCTAAACCCTCAACCCTCAACCCTCAACCCCAAACCCTAAACCCTAAGCAAGGCCACCAGCCAAGCTACTATGCGGGCCGACATCGGTCCCGGTGGCACTGGCGACCCCTCTTCTGGCGTCATCGGCTTTGGAGGTCTTACCGCTAGATCCGGGAGTTTCCGAAATTTAGGGGTACCTTATTTTGCGGGTCCTTAAAATAAGGATCCTACTGTATTTAGGGTACTATATTAGGGTCCGCTATTTTCGGGAACTCCCGTCCAGTCAAAGGAGCTGGACAGTCCACTTTGTCATAGTTGGGTAACATTTTGCATTTGTGTGGGTACTTAAACCCAATAAGGAATAAATGTTTTAGACTTTTAATCCTATCCCAACCATGAACTAGGACAGGGTGCTACGAGGCTTTAGGGCTGACCTCAGAAGGTGTCGGTGTTCTTGCTCTATGTTCGAATGTGTGCCTAATCCAAACCGCCATGGGTACCACAAGTTGTCCCGTGTTCGGACTTCGCTGTGAGGAAGCCTTAACATGGGGCGTCCCCCCGGCGAGGTGGTAGATTCAGGTGGGAGTTTCCCCGAAAATTAGGGGTACCTTATTTTGGGGGTCCTTATAGTAGGGATCCTATTATTTAGGGTACTATATTAGGGTCCCCTATTTTGAGAAACTCTCAGATGTACAATATGCACCTCGACAGGCTGACAAAAAACGAACGACCAAGATGTAAGCATCACGTCGCGACAAAAACCAGGTCATGCCTTTTATGACTTTATGAGACAGAGAGAGCTACAGAAAGGAAGAGATATAGAGAGAGATGTAGACATAGATACAAAGAGAGGCAGAGATCATCGCTCCGAAGCTCTGTACCTGGGTAGAGCTGGACATGTCGTACTTATTTCATATGGAAATAGCATCTCCTAGATATGATCTGTTTATATCCATAGTTTTGGCGATACAGACAGCTAGTGAGCCCGAAACTCTCGCTTGTAACTTTTGGAAGGCCAAGAAGGATTTCAAGCATGTATTGATAGTTCAGTTGAAGTCGCACGGGGTCTAAGCTCGGGAATGCCGTTCATCGAGTCCGTGATTTTTGGGACGGGAGGGATGCCTTCGTCGGGCGTGCCGCCGAAGGGAGCCCAAGTGAGGGACCTAAGAACGTAGTTGACTAATAATGTTTCTGGTGCCTTCTCGGCGCCCAGAGCAGTTGGGTGCAAAGGAATGTCTAGTCGACCCAACAGTACGTTTCGATATGATCTAGGATGGAGCAGAAAGAATTATTAAGACCTAGTAGTGCAAATTATTACGGCTAAGATAGGCCCAGCAAAAAATTCTCGGCCCGGAACTCAATAATGAAAGGTCCCCTCAATAGAGCGAAACTCGGCCTGCACGTAATAATAAACCCCCCCTCAATAGCCGTCTTTAGGTAAAGAAGCACTCCTACTACACAGTGACAGCAGTACAGTCGCAC